TTTTTCTTTTTTTGGGGGGTGGGGAATAGAAGAGAGAGGAGGTTATGTTATATTGTGCTCATTATGTTACACTCCTGTCTTCAACAATTCTGTTTCTCCTTTACACCTTACCATCTAGGAATCTTTACCCCAAGGTAAACATCTAACCTTTACACCCATTCCATTAGGTAATACAAAAGACAGGCATGGCAATAATCCATTTAACCTCCTGGCAATCACATTAGACTCTTTAATGTCTCTCCCATTTTCTTCACTTTCTTTATACAGTAGGCAGCAAGATTTCTAATTTTTGTTGTACTTACTGAGTGGGGTTTTGGTTTGGTTTTGTTTTTATAAGCCCTCATTTGATTTCTTAAAAGGTCTTCTGTTTTGTTTCTAAGAGGGTTTCCCTTCTATTTTTCCACACCTTCCCTTGAAAACAAAGACATAACTAAAAGGTCTTCAAGCTCCTTCCAGACTGAGCTCTTTATTATAATTTATTCTAAAGGTACTCATCTCAAATATTCTAATTATTTGTTTGGTTTTAGTCCTAGATAGCATACAGTGCAACTGGTTCATTTTTCTCCTATATAGGTAACACAGCTGTAACATACAAGCTGGGCATCTATAAAAGGTCATCTAAGTGTATCCTCATCATTTTGCTGGTTTTGAGGCTTTTTTTTTTTAAGTAACTTGAATGTTCAACTCAGTGCACATTCTCATGGAGATTCGTTAACATAAAGGCAAGAGGTTTTAAGTAGGTTATCTTCCATATGACACAAGAGAATTAAGTGCAGTGCTTAATGTGACTTTAAAACTGCATTTCTTGGATTAAGGCTGAATAAACACACACATACACAGTTGTCTCTTACTACTCCTTCACCAAATATCTTAATTTTCTTTGGAGTCATTTCTTATATCAGATAACAGGTTTTCTTTGTGAGGAGAGGGACTAATCAGAGAAAAAGCAGTTTTCTCAATTCCGTGGCCAAACGTTGTAACAGGAGTATGTTGCAGAACATCTGCTGCAAATACGTAAATCCTTCTCGGACATGCTGGATCACGAGTTACTCACCTCTCCCTGGGCTTGAGATCGAACTGTTTTCAGTTTCTCCTGCCCAGTAACAGCTGGCAAACTGGTGTCAGAGATTCTCACCGTTGTCGGCGTCAAAGCCGTTGTAGTAACGGCGGTTGCAGAAGTCACTGGGCCAACCTGCTCCAGTGACTTTCCTGCCTCTTTACATCCAGATCCCACAAGCAACGTTTGTCCAGCCACAGAGGAAAATGGAGTGAAGGGCAATGGTGTGTCACCACCAACCGGCTCATCCTGCACCACCAGTGTTCGGCCGTTCTCTTTGGTGTAAGTAGCAAAGCGAATATTGCGATTAATCTGAGGAATGAATGAAGGCAACTGCTTGGCCCTCGGATCCAGTCCTGTTTCGCTACTGGAGACTCCTTTCCAAGGACCTCTGCTCGCCTCACCTCCATCACTACCGTTGCTATCCACCTCACCCCTCTCCTTTAGCTTCTTTGTTGCAGGATCACATCCAGAATCTGAAGCATTTTTCCTCCTCCTTCCGTCCTTTCCCTCCAGGCTTTCTTTCTTCTTTTTCCCTTTAGATGATGATTTAGCTGATTTTAGGCCCCCTCCCTATAACAGACAAAACCACGCAATCACTAAACAGAACAATCAGGATATCCATTCAAAAACCATTTTTCTGTTAGAAGAGAACACATTATACTGCTCTGAAGCTTAAGACCATTTTATCACAAATTGAGACATCTAAAGAGAGAAGCCATTTGAGCACAGAACACAAGCATGAGTGCAGTCTTGACTTTTTTGTACTAGAATAGGATCTGCACAAGAAAATTTTTAGCTGAGCTACCTTGATGTAGCATGTACTCCATCATTGTTCTTCGTAATGCATGAATACTATTTGCACACTCATTTTTGCTCCAAGTGTAATCCCCACAGTTCTTCTGAAGGGCACACTTTCTGTGCACTACACAAAGCCTACAATATTTAACTACAGGAGACAGCTTGCCCTTTTGCCTAGGGTAAAACTACAGGTTCAAATGTTATCATGGAATCTCTCAACTGAAGCAATGTAATGCTTACAAGGCATACAAGCCAGATGGCAACTCCTAGAAATGCCTAAAAAGGTCTGTGAAGCAGCACAGTGATCCTGTTAGAAAAAGGCAGCAAGCACAGACAATCTTTATCAGAGCACTACACCTTAAAATGGAGCACAACCACCATGGTTACTGACCCCCACTAAACTTAGTAAAACAGGCCTAACAAAAGGAGAAGATTGTTCAAAGAAAGCTATGACCATCCTCAAAGTAGCAAACAAAATTTTCCCGTTCCAACTTTTAAAAGGAAAATTATTAAAATTATCAAAGATCCGCAGTGAACACTCCATCATTTCTTAGTTGTTCCCATGTTTTAGATGTTGCACGTCTAAGTTTTTATGAAGTTTCACACTGTATATACAAGACCTGAACTGCTGGACTACCTCGCTTGGAGAAGTGTTGTCCATCACCACATGAATCAGTCGAGGATCCACCGACTTTATCTCACCACTCTAATTTTTTATGCAGATTGACGATGAGGAGGTAGGAGAAAGAAAAGAGGAAGATAATTTTTAATTCAGAGTATATAGTATCAACATAAGACACCTAAACACAGAGTTACTGTGCAGCCCCTCTCCCATTTACCTTTTCTATCCCACTTTCTTAGGAATACCACTGCCTTCCAGTTTACCTTCTATCCTTCTGCTCCTCGATTTCAAAAACTTGCAGATTTGATTCCTACCGCTGTTACCCTGTATATTTGTTCTGTTGAGCATTTCTAGAGGCGTTCATTGCATTAAAGACAGCTCTTCTTAAATCTGATTTAGTATTGTTCTAGCCTTCTACACTTCACTCTGCTAGACGTAGAAAAGACAACTATAAGAGGCACATCAATTCATCCTAACTATCCTCAGCAGTGTCTCCCCAAAAGGAGCACTGAATACCCAGTCTCTAACTGTGCTTGGAGGTTACCATTTATTTCACAGTAAATACACAGAAAGTTGGGTGCTTCTGAGCATGTATCTGCTAAAAGCACAGGAGCAGGCCAGTGGTAACTACCTGTCAGATCACACAGAAGCATGTAATAAAAACCAGGTAACTCTAGCAGTGCACAGATCCTCTGTGCTGTTCACAGGTTTATGGACAGCAACAGGGCGAAAGCAAACAGCCTAAGCTAAAATACACAAATCATATTTATTGAGGCTAAGACTTCATCTGCTATGCTGTACTTGTTTCAAACCACTTGTACAGTGTGTCAGATGGAAACCAAGAGAAGGCACAG